GGGGGAGAGGAGACACAGTCACGGGTAGTGGTGGCATATGGATGGAGAGGAGGGGAGGGGAGCTCTTAAGTCTTAAGTCTAATCTTAAAGGTAGAGAGGGTGTCCGCCTCCTGAACTGAGACTGGGAGTTGGTTCCATAAGAGAGGAGCTTGATAGCTAAAGGCTCTGCCTCCCATTCTACTTCTGTGGACTCTAGGAACCACAAGTAAACCTGCACTCTGAGAGCGAAGTGCTCTGTTAGGATGATAAGGCTCTACGAGGTCTTTAAGATACGATGGAGCCTTGTCATTAAGGGCTTTGTATGTTAGGAGAAGGATTTTAAATTCTATTCTGAATTTTACAGGGAGCCAGTGGAGAGAAGCTAATATGGGAGAGATATGATCTCTCTTGCTAGTTCCTGTCAGTACTCTGGCTGCAGCATTTTGGATTAACTGGAGTCTTTTTATGGAATTATTGGGATTAATTTTCAGTAAATTTTTAGCAATGTAGCTGCTATTGTATCAAGCAGTAGAAATGCATTGTACCCAGGCAGCAAACACGTCACAAACTTCTTCTAGCCACTTTATGAAAATGAAAAAAACATAGGTTTGACTAAAACCCAGAAGATCAAGTTTGCTAATATCTCATTTAGTTAATCAAGGACTTAAAGTGCATATACAGCAGGAACGTCATGTATAATTAATCTTTTCCGTTTCTGTTGCAAACAGTGTTTCATTAGGAACCTTGTTTTAAGATGCAGTGTGTGAACCTCGACATTACAGATTTGCTTATCATCAAGGTTTAATGTTGTAACAATCACATTTCTTGTCATTAAAGCTTTGTACCATGTGGAAGCTACTTGCAAAGGTTTGATGTGAGAGAAAACTGCAAGGCAGGAGTTGGCATACCATCAGGTTTAAAAGTTTAATCAGCAGCTCATTTGGGTTCTTCTGAGGCTCAAACACATCAACCTGGAAACCTGACAGAGTCGGAACTAGGAACACATGGATGGCTGTTCTACCAGCAGTTTGTGTTTGAATAGGAGCAGTGCACAAGTTACAGTCATCACAGTCTAATGTGCCAGAACAGGACGTGCAGCTGGTAGTCTAGGTCCAGATGCAGTCCAAACTAGTCTGGAGGTCTCAGTCTCTGTGGTTCGTCCTCTGGCTTCTCTCCGTTCTGCGGTGCCTGGGTTGTAGTTTATTGCTGGGGCAAAGACCTGGCACACAGCTCTTCCTTTCCTTTGTATTCATCTCTAACAAACAAATTGTCTCTGTCTAGGACTCAGGTGAATTGAGGCATTCGGCTGCAGGTTCTGGAAGAAGAGAGAGGACACCGGGCTTTTGATGGACTGCATCCAAGTTGGACTTTCACATGGACAGTTTTCATTTTTATTTCTTACAGAATCTATTCCTGGTCTAATTAGTGTTTTGTGTGTTTGGTCAGAAGCTTGTGGTCATGTAATGTGCATGTGCAGCTGTTTTTCCTGTGTAAGCATGATCATCCTTAGTAACCAGTTCCTGTGTTGTGGGTTCAGACGTCCTCCATGCAATATAAGACATATTTACCGCTTACGTGGCCTTTGCTACTTTTGTGCGCTTCATCCTTTTCCTCCTCATGAGGGTCACCTGAGGCCTCTTCAAGCCTGCGATCAGCAGCAGCAGCCGGGGCCGCGACTTGGTGAGCCAGCTCCTCAGCAGCGTCCCTTTGGGAAGCCTGTGGGAACAGCAGCAGGCAGTGAACGCTGACATCTGAGAGGCAACGGGAGCAGAATACCGTCTGGGTCACAGGCGTTTGCTGCTTGGTTTTACACCACACCAGTAAGACTAAGCCTCACAGTCCAGTCATTTAAAAATAAAAGCACCACTTTCTACTTAAATGTGGAAGCAAATTACATTTCACCAACGCTTTGGAAAATGTCACCAAATGTGGATTCGTTTTTTTAATATTTTGCTGAGTATGGTAATACTGGAAGGTCCAGCTCTTTAGTGCAGACTGAAATATTGTAACACTTATTGTCATGAAATCTGGTTCTGTAGTGGTTAAAAACAAACGAGTTACCAGTCCAGAGGTAATATGTAATAGAACACTATGTAGTTCATATATAGATATTATTTGTAATAGTTATGTAAAGGTGAGCTAAGTGTTTATGTAAGCTTGATTCGTTTCTCTTCTCTTGCTCAAGCAAGAATATCTTGGGTTGTGTCCCCCCTTGTTTAACTTATGGGCAAACATCCAGAGCCAATTCCTCCTTGAATGGGAAATGGACATAGCTTCAGCCTTATGTGAACTGTTCCTGTGCTCTGTTCAGGTTTAGAAAAAGGAAATGTGCGCTAGGTCAATGCGACCTAGAAGTTCATGTACTGGCCTTATCTTAGACAATGCTCGGAAGAAGGTGTGTGGAGTTGGCATGAGACTGTGTCTCTGGCTCAGGCCATAGAAGGCTGTGTAACTACGAGCAGATAAAAGGCTAGGATAGCTGGGTTAGTGATAAGAAAAAGGAATTACAAATGGTGCAGCAGCCTTGAGTGAGCTTAGACCTGGCCGGGGGGACGCTGACTGATGGTGCGCCAATGGACTGACTGATCAACAATGACTGACTGGCGCTCTGACAATCTTCTTATTTAATACTTTATCTATCCCATTGCAGGAGGAGTGATTCTGTTCTCTGTTCCCTAACTACCAGATTACTTAGTTAACTACTACTCTGTTCAGAATAATTGTAATATTAAATGATTACTTAAATTGGGATGATTTGTCTGAATTAATTTAGTCTGTATCACATTCTAGCCACGACAGTCTCTCGGGTCTCTTTCAGGATAAACTGTAATCGTCAGGTTTCATCTGTCCAATACTTTGGTTTATGGCTAAACACCTTCAAACACAATGACCTTCCCATCAGCCTCAGCTGTATTGTTTTTTTTAACTTTATTTTGAAATTGTGTACTGTGTGTTTTAGCTAATCCATGCTAAACCAAGGTGGCGAACATGTTAAGATTCTTCCTGCACACGCAGCCTGATAAAGTGCTAAACTCTTTCAGTTATAGACCAAATAGAAAAGAGCTTTTAGGCTGTGTAGCTAATGTCAAGTCATTGGCAAAAGGTGTAAAGTAATGCTGTGTGGTTCTGTCAGTCACAGCCCAGTAGGGTCAGCAGACTAAACTGAACTGAACATTAGAGCTGTGACACTGTCCAGCTGTAAACCACCGCTCTCCTCTTACCCTGATCAACAAGCAAAAAACCAAAGGGTGAATATCACAATGGACATAAGCAAACAATACAAAAACATAATCACATTCAGAGGAGGCTGTGCTTTTGACCATCTCCTCTCAGACCAGTTTTGAATCCTGCAAAAAGAATGAAAACCAATTCTAACTGGACAACAGGAAAACCAGTCAGCGCTGTGTGGGTCATGCTGGACAGGCAGACAAACTGGATCTCTTAGCAGCTGTTCACAAACAGCTTCGGCTGTGGGCCGGTTCATGGACGTCACCTTAGAACAAGCATGCCAACATTCTCCGGAGATGTATGTGATCTCTCCCATGTCACATGTAGCATCATAAGTGACCACTTGCACAAGAATGATTTGTTTGAGGATTTTCAGTCATGTTTTAGAGTCCATCATAGTACAGAAACCACATTGGTGAAAGTCACCAATGATCTCCTCCTAGCCTCAGTTATGCTCTATAGGCCTAGGTTGCTGGGAGACCCCATGATGCTCTCCTCCCCCCCGTGTCTCCTCTCTCCCATAGTGTGTCCTCTCTCTCTCCCTGTACCTTTCTGCAGGTTGCCCTGGCCCTGGAGCTCTACGTCTCTGACGAGCAGTCACTGACGAGCAGTCACTGACTCACACTTGCTGAAGTCCATAAATGCCAGGGGACTGGGCATAGTATGGCTGCAGAGCTGGTAGCCACTGGACCTTTCCCGGACATACCGGGAATAGGTGTGGTGCAGGCTGGACACTATAACAAGATGGGATGCCCAACTGATCATACGTCAAACGTCTCGGTGGGTGCCTCTCACGTTGTGGTCGCTGGGGTCTCTGCTCCTCAGGTCCCTCAGGAGCGGCAAGTGATGGAGGGGCAGGTGCTGAGCTGTGGGGCTGGTCACTGGCAACTGGATCCATCTCACTAGTTGTCTCTACAGCAGGTGAATCAGATGCGTCCCAATTGTCTCCACCAGGGGGCTCTGGTGGTGGTGCAGCAGGGGCAGGTACTTGAGTCTGATGGGTCACTGCTGGGGGTTTTGTTCCACCTGGCTGGTCTGATGACTGGGTCCCAGAACACGGAGATGTGGAATAAAAGCAATATCCATCACTACTGTCCTCATCAGAATCTCGCACATCTCTTTCAGGTTTCTTTCCCACTCCCTTTATCTCTAATTTGATTTGACATGTATTTTAGGCCACATGTCCAAAGTTCAAGGCTGAAAGCTTCTTCAGGCTCATCATCATTTAATGTGGTTGCTTGTCGTGCTTGGACAGGTCCAGAAACACAAACAGCTGAACAATCAGACAGGCTGGAATTAAACTAGATTCAAATTAATCTGGAAGAAAACTGAAAATGAGCAGTACAACCATGACCCAGATTCTCTCTTCAGACCGCCCTGCCTCACCTTCAGCATTGTTTTTGGTGATGTGCCTTGTCCTCAGAGCTCAGCGAGTGCTCTGATGGGTATGCTACTGTCATGAGCACCACGGAAAATAGAAAAGGCTCTCGATTGTCTGGACTTTGTGCTGTTCAAGTGCTGAAACCAGCCAGAGAGAGATCTAGCAGGATTCAGACATGGTGGGGCCTTGCTGACACCGCTGTTGTTGCCTGTGGACTCAGTGTTCAATGTACCGAGGCTAACATTGTTTGTATGGCTGCCCCTGCTGCCCCCGTGTTATAAATCACACCATCTGGTTTGTGTAGACATTTTCTTCCCACTGTTGTTTGTCGTCAGGCTTCCTAAGATATCAAAGTAGTTTTCGCCCTCAGCCCAACCCCATCACCTCCTCCTCCACAGCAGACATCTGTCTTGTTTTCTAGTACTGACCCACTGTCAGCATCCTAAGAGTCAGAGGAACCAGATAACTTTGACATTCTCCATCTGTCCAGCCTTTAGCAGCTACCGAGAGGAGCTCTCTCTTAATATCTGAGTCACCTAACAAACAAGCAGATCATCATCATGCTCCCTTCCATCTATTTTAACATGAAAAGAACCATCCATCCCCAAATCTAGGAATCCAGGTGAGAAGTTTATTTTCACAGAGACTCGTGCGGTTCAGAGAGTAGAGGTACTGCCAAGTTGTTTTTAGTGCAGGTCTACAATGTCACGGCACTGACAAACCAAAGCACTTGCCTTAAATTCATCAGAAATCCAGGTTCATGAAGGTCTCACATATATCGGGTTTAAAAGTCTGACAAGTGGAACATGGCGTCCCAGCTCTCCATCCTCTCCACACACACCTCAGCAGTACTCTACCTGCACCCCTACCTCTGTACAAGGAACACAAGAGACAGCAGTCCTTACCAACTAACCCCACACATTTGTCAGGTTATGCCCCCGGTGTCCCTACAGAGGCACATATACGATCCCCGCTGCAGCTTTTTCCTCCCCCACGAGAAGGTTCAGCCAGGATGCACAAACAAACCTGCTAAATAACAGGAGGCCATGAACTGGGAGGAAGGGGCTTTAAAAAGGAGGGTCCACTCAGCACTTCTGACTGAGACACACAGCCAATCAGAAGGCAGACTGCACCTGTTGCCATGACACCCAGCACTGACCCCTCAGATCCTTCACTTAAAGCTACGGTATGTAACTTAACTAGCCTGAACCTCCAAATCAGTCGGCTCTGCCCCACTGCGCTCCGCCACGCTCTGCCCAGCTCTGCACATATTTGAAATTACAATAAACAAGAACGCAGCAAAAGTCACTGATCAATCAGAAGTAGTAGAAAATCTGACTGGTCAGAGGTCAGTCCCACTCCAAACCCTTTAGAAGCAGACATCTCTGCGCTGCTGCCAGTTCAGTGAGTCTGGCGTTGACAGCTCCTCTCCATGTTAGGACACGTTGTGGAGCAGATTTCTACAACATCTGATACAAGTCACATACAGAAACTTTAAGTAAAAGTCCCGGTGTTTTAGTGTCACGTGACTGTTGTACAGGATGTTTACTGGTCCATTAACGTCACATTTTACTGCTCTAGTTGTTCCAGGTTGCATTAACTTTGTTGGGAGCTTCATCTACAGCGGTGCATCACATCCCATAAGGTTTTATGTTTGGAACAGTTCTGTGGTCAATTCTGTGATGATAGTTTTCAGACAATATTTTTTTTTTTGGTTTAGATTTTTAGCTAAAGCAGCAATTAACTGTCAAGTTTATCGGAAAAATTCAAAATCACCTAATTTGAAGATACGTGGTTTTCACAGGACAGGAGGAGGAAGGAAGTGGTGACTAAAGGTGTCAGGTACATGTAGTGGAGTAAAAAGTACAAGGTTTCACTCTGAGATGTAGTGGAGTAGAAAAATACTCAAATATAAATACCTCACAAATGTACTTAAGAACAGTACTTCAGTAAATGTACTTTATTACTTTCCACTACAGTGTGTGTTAATAAAAAGAACATTTACAAATGTGTGTGATGAGTTCTGGGTAATTTGTTTTTGAAAATGCACTAATAATAACTGCATCACAACAATATTTTACTGAGCTCAGTAATCTAAGGTAGCATGTTAAAGCTATTACCATAAAGCTTTCTCTGTGTATAAATATGTAAAACTATTCGTAATTTTATATGATGCATTTACAGGTTGTTAAATGTGTGCACAAGCGTTTAAGTTTAAGTATGGTAGGTCATGATCTCTTCAAAGTAATCTGTACTCACCAAAGTAGCTGCTGAGGTCTGGGAACATGGTGACGTCTGACAGGAAGTGAAGGAGGAAGTATTCAGGTCTGTTACTTCAGTAGAAGCAGTGATACCACAATGTAAAAATACTCTGTTACTAAGTTAACGTCCTGCAGTCAAAACATTACTTAACTAAAAAGTACAGATGCATAATACATCTCGAGGTACTTAAAGTATCAGCAGTAAAAGTACAGGACCACTGGAGGTCTTTGTGATGCCTGTTGTCCACTGATACATTTAATATAGTAAAAGTAAAAGTCACTGGTGAAACCTCTCATTTTCACTAAAACTGATTCTGAACACGTCTCAGGTGTCAGAAGATGAAACCTCAGTACGAGGGGCAGCTGGCTGTGGTGTCAGCTGTGCCCTGTAGGGGGCGCTGTGGCACCAGGCTGACAGAGACAGGAGGAGGAGGAGGAGGAGGAAGGCTGTAGGAGCATGTTGAATCTCAGACTGAGAGGGTCGCCCTGCTGTTTGTTCACTGCAGAGATCAACCAGGAGGAGGAAGAGGACGTGGGGGGACGGCTGGCACTGCAATGCAGATCATCAGATGAGGGGGGGAGGGAGGGAGGGAGCTGGCGGCTCTGCAGGAAGCAGATGTGTTTCCTGAGGGGGAGATTCAGGGATTCCCTGTTGAGCTGGAGCAGCTCCAGGAGGAGACGCAGTGAGACGAGCTGAGCCAGAGGCAGGTTTACAACAGACAAGATAAATGTTTGTAGCTTGTTCTGTTCTGTTTTTTGATGATTTGATACAAACAGGCAGAATGTTGTTGTTGAGGTGTCCTGTTGTGAGGACGCAGCATCACACACCTTTATCCTCTAATGAATAGTAATTAGACACACAGGCTGGTTTCTAATTGGCTGACAGCTGCACAAATTAAAAAGAGTGTCAGCAAATCAGAGCTCACGATAAGTTAAACTGCAGGTAACCATAGCAACAGTACAGATTAATTGACAGGTGAAACTAATTTGTGCTCCTGTCTGACCCGTGTCACCTCATGGCTCACATCAGAAACTTCATGGTTTTACAAAAACCCTTCACATTGTAACGAGGTATTATTTCATGTTACAATACTTTCTTGCTACTACAAGATAGTGATGAATCCCCTTTTACAGGTTAGAGGTTTAAACAAACCGAAAGCGTCCCAGTGTTAAAACACCACATCTAGATCAAGGTGTTAAACACTTAGTCATGTTTTACAATGGCGTGACGTGGATTCAGGCGTTTTTATTTCTTCTTTCAGCTGTTCCCACTAGGGGTCGCCACAGCGAGGTCACTGATCTCCGGACAGTAGGTGTAGAAATCCAGATCCACAGGTGTGATCTGCTCAGGTTTTGTCACCAGATCCCCTCCTGACACAACCCTCCCACTTCATCCAGGCTTGAGACCAGTACGAAGAGCGTGATGGCTCATGCGCTGGCTCGTGCACCCCCGGTGACTGGGGGTGCTCGTGCTTTAACACAGAGGTTTCTGAACACACTGATCATGTCAAAGAGAGCAAGTAAATTTTTAACAAACTAAGTTTCATGACATGTGAGTCGGGCTGCAGCAGCGTCGCAGCCTCACTGTGGCTGAACCCAGGAACCTCTTCTGGTGACCGACACCTGTAACCATCAGCAACAATGAAACTTGTCAAGACATTAAAACTAAATCAGGCACCAAATGAGCAAGGAAGAGCGAGTGGGTGTACAGTGTGTTAGAGACCACCATCCTTCTCTAGTCTCAACTAAGTAGTTTCTAAATAAACTTTAGATTGTTTACAGTATTTGTTTAACCACTCGCACACACAGTCGCTCACACACTCAAACACCGGTGATGTCACCGGTTCAGCGTCTTGCATAAGGACATGTGGAGTGGAGAAGCTGGGAATCGAACCACTGACCCGCTGGTTAGGGAACGACCAGACGAGTATGATGTGCTTTATGTTATTGTCCTGTTCCATCACGACCAGATGCCCTGAGGGGACTGTGCAGCGACTGACTGACTGATTGTTATTGTCCTGTTCCATCACGACCAGCTGCCCTGAGGGGACTGTGGACCGACTGACTGACTGACTGTTGCACTGTGTGTAATGCAAGGCGCCGGCGGTGCTGACCAGTACACAGGCTTTT